GACTTATTTTAATTATCAATTTGACAAACTTAATGAATACTTGAAAGAGAATAGAGGAATGAAACTTAATGCTACAATAAATATGAAAGTTATGAACTTATTTGATGAGGAGAGAAACGTAACAGTTAGGACAAGGTCGTACACTATTGTAAATGAAGAGGATTTAAGGAATGCTTTGAAAAGAATGAGACCTGATGTTGAAACAAGAATTTTAGATATGGCTTTGTATCAGTCAGGATTAATAATTAGCAATATTAATAATATTCATATCATGTATAATAAATATAATCCGACTAGAGCTGGCAAATATATTGAACTTCCAGAATGGATTAAAAAGAAAAAGGCATGTATCAATATTAAAAATCAAGATGACAAGTGTTTTAAATATTCTATTGAGTGTGGATATTGTAAAATTTGTGATAAAGCACACCCTGAAAAGATGTTTCATTACAAGAAGATAGCAAGTGATTTGATTTTTGATGGTGTGAGTTTTCCTGCTAATAATAATGATATAGATATATTTGAAGAAAATAATAAATCAATATCCATTAATGTTTATGAAATTGATGATAATGAACAAATTGTTATTAGTAGAAAATTGAAAAATAAAGATGCTTCTTGTCATCTTGATTTGTTGAGAGTTGATGAGGAGGATTGCAGTCATTATGTGTATATAAAAAGTTTGAGCAGACTTATTAATAATCAAAAAAGTAATCATAATGGTAAGTCCTATTTTTGTAAATATTGTAATCATGGATTTAGAAATGAAGAATTATTAAATAAACATTATGATAGTGGATGCATGGAAGTTGATGGTCAACAAATAGTAATGCCTAAGCCTTATGAGAAAGTTAGTTTTAAGCATCACTTCAAAAAGTTAAGGTGTCCTTTTGTTGTATATGCTGATTTTGAATGTTTGACAGAGGAACTGAAAAAACCTGATGAAGATGAAGATAAAAACACTTTTTCTTATCAAGAGCATAAACCATGTGGTTTTATGCTTAATATGGTTAATGCTGTTGATAATACAAATTATGAATTTATGTATCGTGGTAAAGATGCTGTTGATGTGTTTTGTCAAAAACTTAATGAGATTAGGGCAGAAGTAAAGGAGAAGATGGGAGAAAACGAAAAAATAGACATGACTGACGAAGACAAAGAAGATTTTAAAAATGCTAAAAACTGCTTTATTTGTGGGGATAAGTTTAGAATGAACTATAAGAATGCCAAGGAAGCAGAGAAATATAGAAAAGTTAGAGACCATTGTCATTTTACAGGTAAGTATAGAGGTTGTGCTCATAATGTTTGCAATCTTAATTTTTGTAATAGATATTTTAAAATTCCAGTATTCTTTCATAACATGAAAAATTATGACGGTCATTTAATTATTCAAAATGCGGATAAATTAAGTAACAACAATAAAATAGGTGTCATCGCTCAGAACAGTGAAAAATTTATTAATATCAGTTTTGAAAGTTTGAGTGTTAAAGACACTTTTGGGTTTTTAACTGCTTCATTAGATAAGTTAGTTTCAATGAGTAAGTATGATAATACAGATGAAGAAGATAAAAGTAAATGGTTATTGCGTGAAGACTGGAAAGATAATTTTAGGTTTAGTAGTAAAAATGATTTGATTAAGAGTGAGAAATGTCTAGATTTATTAACTGATAAAGGCGTTTATCCTTATGACTACATGAATTCATTTGATAAATTTGATGATGAGCAATTACCGAGTAAGGATGATTTTTATAGTCAGTTGAGTGAAGAAGGTATAAGTGTTAACGACTATGAAAGGGCAAAAATTATATGGAAGCATTTCGACATTAAGAATATGGGTGAATACCATGATTTATATTTGAAAACTGATGTATTATTATTGACTGACATTTTCGAAAATTTTAGAGATGTATGTATGAAATATTATGGATTGGACCCTGCTTATTATTATACATTGCCTAACTTTGCTTTTGATGCTATGCTTAAAATGACTGGTGTAGAGATTGATTTAATATATGACCAAGAAATGTATGAAATGATAGAAGCGGGACTTAGAGGCGGGATGTGTATGGTTTCTACTAAAAAAGTTGAAGCAAATAATAAATACATGGGAGAAGAATATGATAAAAATAAAGAAAGTAGTTATATTAACTATTTTGATGCTAATAATTTGTACGGGTTAAGCATGATACAAAAACTGCCATATAAAAATCTAAAATGGGATGATACATTAAAAGAAGAAGACATTATTAATTACAAAAATAATAATATTGGATATATTCTAGAAGTGGATTTAGAATATCCTAAAGAATTACACGATTTACACAATGACTATCCAATGGCACCTGAGGTTATGAATGTTAAAGCCAACATGCTGTCAGATAAACAAATTGAAATTTATGAATTTTTAAATCATAAAAAACCTACGGATGAGAAAACAAATAAATTAGTATTGAATTTAAATGATAAAGAAAAATATGTAATCCATATAAGAACCTTGCAATTTTATTTGAAGCAAGGGTTAAAACTTAAGAAAATTCATAGAGCAATTAAATTTGAACAAAAAGAAGTTTTAAAACCTTACATTGAGTTTAACACTGAGAAGAGGAAGAATGCTAGAAATGATTTTGAGAAAGATGTTTACAAATTGATGAACAATGCCATATTTGGAAAAACAATGGAGGATAAGCGAAAACATTTAGACTTTGAAGTTGTGATGATGATATATGAAGTGTGTAAGTAATCCTAACTTCAAACATAGTCATATCATTAATGAAAATTTGGTTGGAGTTGAAAAGCAAAAAACAAAGTTGAAACTAGACAAACCTATATTTATTGGGATGAGTATTTTAGATTTGAGTAAGCAACACATGTATAAATTTTATTATGACGTTATGAAGCCTAAATATGGAGATAATATTAAAATGGTATATACTGATACTGATAGTTTTGTATTTCATACTAAAACCAATGACATTTATGAAGACCTGAATACAATTAAAAAAGAATTAGATTTTTCAGATTATCCTAAGGAACATAAATGTTATGATGATAATAACAAGAAAGTATTAGGTAAATTTAAGGATGAATTAAAAAGTAAAATAATAACAGGGTTTATAGCTCTTCGTCCTAAATGCTATGCTTACTCAGTTTATGGTGATGATAAAAAATATAAGAAATGTAAGGGCATAGCAAAAGGCACAGTAAGACGTCAAATGAAATATGAAGAGTTTGAGACGGTTTTAAAAACTAATGAGGTTATACATAAGTCATTTAATAGTATTAGAAGTAAAAACCACAGAATTTTTAGTATAACAACTAAAAAAATTGCTCTTAGTAGTTATGAAAACAAAAAATATTGGATAGATAGTGTAAACTCACTTGCTTACGGCCATTATAAAATAAATTCTTTGAAAACGACTTAAAGAAATATTGACTTAATATATTATAATAGAAATGGTTGAATTTACTAAAAAAGAGCAAGAAGAAATTATTAATGACTTTTTGAATAAAATAAAAGTTAATGACGTTATCAGTAGTTGTAAATGTAAACTAATAAATGAACAAACTAGACTAACTAAGTTAAATTTACCTATTCCGATTGTTAAAAACATGTGTGATTTTAATTATGTTGAATGCGAGAAATGTTTTTTATTAAGAAATGCAAAGCAAGTTTTACATAAAAGTAATTTACATTCAACATTGAGACAATGTATTTATGATAAATACAAATTGAAATTTGAAGAAAATACATTTCTAAATAATGACTCATCATTAAGAACATATTGTTTTATAAAGTTAAATACATTTCCTACATATGAAAAAGTGAAAAAATATATACTGCAAGATAACGAAACATATATTTTAAAATTTTATAATGATATTAAATATTACTACGAACAATCATATGAAGTTAGTTATGGTGGCAAAACTGGAACAACAAGACCAATTGAAGAATTTAATAATAAAATGATATTTAAATTTATTGATGAGTATGATTTATCAAATAATAAAATTGAAAATGATTGCAAGGAAACATTTTTAAACTACATAAAACAAAGAAACCAAGAATTGAAAATCATAATTGATAAAATATGTGATTATATTCAGGATGAACAGAAGAACAATATAATAGGTAAATTAATGTATGGTGATGTGATAAATGATATTAAAAGTGTTTTAGGAAACTGGAGCATAGGTTTTTGCATTTATCATTTTGCTGATAGAAAATATCCATTTAAAAATAATAAACAGAACTTTAAACAAATACCAAAGATTACAAAGGAATATTTAAATACTAATGACTTTGATTAAAACCATACTATGATTATCACATGTAAACTATTATATGTTATAATTGTAATATATTTATCGTTTGTAAAGATTGAATTATTATATTTTCCTAATTTGCTTATCTCTTTCAAAGTGCGTTGTTTAGACTTGGCATGCTTCTAATTTTTTCGTGCTTTGACTGTTTGTTTTTGTTTTGTTTGATGCTCTTGTGATATTTTTTGTTAGTATGTTGCTTTGATTTTTGTTGATGTGTGTTTTTGAGTTGAGTGTCTTTGATGATTTAGAGTGTTGCTGTTTTGTTGGTATGCTTGTTTGAATTATTTAATGTTGTATGCTGTGATTAAATATTTTTGTTGCTGGTTGTGATTATTTATTTTGTTTGCTTGTTGTTCTGGATTTTGTTTTCTGTTTGTTGTGTTGCTGTTGGAAAAAAAATAGTAGAAAGAATAATTCTTTGAATTCTCCTTTTACTATTTTTTCCCCCACCCTCCCCACCGCAATTGTACGCGGTTGCCCTGGTTCGGCTGGCTTACTGCCAGCCCCTGGGTTGAAGCTGATTTCCACCTTGCCCCTTTCAAGTAGCTAGAAAAAGTGCTGTTTCTTCCCATGAACCTGATCTTGGACAACTCCCCTGGTCGGTTTCACGGGGTTCATGTGAGTTTCTGAAGCTCATAGGGTTGGAGCTGCGCGCCAAACTCGATCGGTCCGAGGCTGGTGGCACCGATCTCTGGAGCTGCTGAATTCCATGGATGGGCCCAGCGTCATCAGCTGCAATGCGGCCATCAACGCCTGCCAGGCCAAGGATAGATGGGTGCGATGTTTTGTTGTTGTTTGAGGGCGCACTTTTCAGGTCGACTTCCTTGGAAACGGAAAGGAAGATCACCAGATTGGGGGCCTCCGAATTTTGAGACATACTGTACCCTCTCCCAGACAAACTTGGAAGCTCGCAGCACCCCTTTGGAAGACTTGGCTCCATTGACGGAGGCCTTCTGGGAGTTTCCATGTTAGTTTCAAGGAGCATACTTTTCGCCTGAGAATACACGGTCCGAATGAGATGGTCGCATATTGGTGCAAGTCTGTTGCCCCTGGGTGGTCGCACAGTTCTGCCCCGACATTCCCCGACACTTTGCGACTGAACAAGCTGACCCGGCCCCGAGATCGGGGAGCATCGCCTCAAGTTAGCCGAGCTATTGCCGAGTGTCACCGGGCTGAGCAGATCTGCAGTTTACACGCCGGCCGCGGTTCATCTCAGCTTTGGGAAACAGATCCGGCGGAACCCAGTTTCTTCACTCTTTCTGAGGGAAGTTCAGCTGGGCCGCTTGAGATGATGCAGAACCCCCCGCAGAAAATCAAGTGGTACAATTTTGAAACTACTAGCCTGCGACCGGTGAAATTCCATGTTTGGCTCCATGTACTTATTGGCGGGCTAGGCAAACGGAAATGGTCACCATTTTCCCTTGCTCTGCAAGGGCCCATCCCACCCTTCTTTCCCCCTAGCAGTAGGGGTGTATCCTGGACCGGCACTACAACAAGTAAATCGGCTGGCGTCCCCTTTCAGAATAAACTGTCTGCTTTGGAAGAAGCAAACTCTCTCTGAGTCGTTGGTCCAGATCCCTCCCCTCCTTTAGGACTCTCAGCCAGCAGGCAGCCTCCCAGTGGCAACAAGCGATGGCGGTCTTCTCGCAGATGGAGCGCGATGCGCCGGACACCACCAGTTGCGCAGCAAATTTGCGGTTGGGCAATGCTCAAAATGTTCCGTCATATGCTGTAAGGGAGTGGCACTAAATGGGCGTTTTGTACTTGTCCGGATCCTCTATGTATCTCCCAGTAAGGAGGTTATTGGCCATAGCATCCATGGTTGGTTGACGTCATACACCCCATGCATGGATCCCTTGTTTATGGGCCAACTCGCCACGAATCATGGCTTAGTTCAGGGCATCCTACCACCAAAGTGGCCCAACATGGCCGAGAGAGCCGGCCTCGAACAGGCTTTGCTTGAGGTGCGTACATGGGGAGAGCGGTGGGTGAGTAGGGGGTTCCTCGAGTGCATTTTGCACATTTTTGGTGCGTGGCAGAGGCAGGGGGTTCGATTGCTGCCCTTGGCTGGACTGATTTGGCCATTGCATGTTGCAACGACGCGTGCTTTGCTGTTTGGTTACACTTGCTGCTGCATTTTGACGTTCCTGGTTTTCTTTGCCTGGGCTGGTTTCCACCGAATGCCGTGGCAGTTGCCAAGATTGCCATTTCGACGTCCCTGGTTCACACGCGCCCCGGGAAGGGGGGGAATACTACGAAGAGGACTTTTCTTGACTTGTCTATGGCTGGTGAAAAGGCAGCTTTGGAACTTCGGGCCGTCCGCTCTCATATGTCCTCTTGGGAATCTCTTCTTTCAGGGTATGGCAAGATTGACGAATTTGCAGATCTATGTTCTTCCTGCTTGCAAACGATGCCGCATCCTTGCCCATTCGCGGGTCACTGGCAAAGACAACGGAAAACTTGCTCCTTTGCCCCCGTAGGATTTTCAAAGATGTGACTCACTCACTAGGACGACATGGGAACCACGCGGTGCAAAGTAGCCGCTTTGCCGAATAGAGCATCCGGCGCACTTCCTTTACAAGAGATAAACATTCCTGAGAGGAAAACAACCTTTGATGTTTGACCCATTCGGCCCTCACCCATCTACACTCCCTCCTTTTCAGGTATAAACCAGTGCGCGCAGCAATCTCCGAATATTGAATTAAACAACGCTACTCTTGCCGACAAAATGTGACTCCGTAGCTGAAAATTCATGCGACAAAGTATGATGTATTTATTAAACTCGACAAACAAATCAATTTACAGCTCGCAAACCAGAGTTATGTTTGCACTTACGTTTATCTATCAGACTTTGCCGTTTAGAGCCAATATCCCTTGCCACAGGTGCTGAAATCATATTCACATTTAGGTGTGGAATTCCAATCCTTGCCGGTCAGCACTTCAGTGTCAGGGGCTTGCCTTGGCCCCCTTCTGGTTGCCTGCCCTTTGGTCGCCATGCGGTGAGTTGTTTGGAAGTTGCGGGTTGCATCGGGGCAGCGACACCTGAGGCTACAATCTGCTTCTGAGTGCGTTGGCGCGGAGCAGCCTAAGGTGGGAAGAAGGGAGGAATGCACGCTTGGTTGAACTGCTGTCATTCAATCGCATGGTTAGTGACAGATCTGAGGTAAACGCTGTGCGTCCCGATTTCTATCAGGAATAGTATTTAGTTTTAAAGCCACGAACCAAGCTCAAAAGCAGCGCAGCGTTGGCGTCAGAACCGATCACCCTTCGAGTGTGGATTGAGCTCCTCTCTGAAAAAGCTTGGCCGGGGTTTTTGGGACCGTTTCAACTCAAGCTACCCTGCACTCATAAATTTGGGGTTAGCACCCATTTGTAAGGGATTTTTGAGGGTCCGAGTATATGATATGTGATTGCCGTAGATCGCTGCTCATTGATTTTTCCCCAGGGTCCAGGCTGATGAGGTCTGCAGCACTCACTTGGGGCAAGCTGCGAGTGCCATTTTTTTGTTTCCGAAAGTGGACAGGCAGCTTTCCACAGGGTCCTCGAAAGAATCAAGTTGGATATTCAGCTTTCACCGCAGCACTGTAATTTTCCATGGGCTGGCGGGAAAGCGGAGGGGACAAGCCGACCGACCATGAAAAAGGTGCAGCATCGAAACCCTGCTGGACTGAGTCGCGAAAGTCAGAAACCCTCCTTCCCAGTAACGTGGTACCGGATGGATGGCCCCTTGATCAGGAAGTTGATCCCGGTACGCTTCGCAGCTTCTGTGTCATGTTTGCGGTGGGAAGGGTAGATTCCTTTTCTCCTACCGTGGATGGACGAACTCCTGCACCACGTTGAAACCATGGGGTTTCCCATTGTTTGTTGTGATTTACGGCGGGATTTCCGTGATTCCGGGGGTGTCCTAGGTGGCCCCGAGGATTTCGCCCAACGGGAATTCACTCGACCGGAGGCCCGAGGCCCAGAAGCTGGTGAAGCAGATGCAGCGACACCAGCGACTCGTATCTCGAAGGCTGCTGGATGCTAGGGCCATTTATTTCTTGACGGTTTCTGGGGGGTTGTCACAGGAACATGGAATTGTTTTTTTTGGTTTGACCTACTTTAGCGGGCTGGCTTTGATCTTGGTAAGATAATGGGACCAGGGATGTGCGCCCATTTCTCTTTCCTTTTTCTGTTTTATTGGGGGGGAGGTTGGGGGGGAGGTCGGCAGCCCTTGTTGGGCTGTTGGGAGAAACAAAACTGAGCCACGCATGTTCCTTCTTGGGCTGTTTCAAGACATTGCTTGGTCGGCCTCTTGGGGGACACAAAGAGGTGCCCTTTATTGCAGTTCCCCCCCCCACAAGAAGAAAAACTGATGTTAGGTTAGAATAAAGCCAACCATTTGACCTCTTAGTTTTTCCGTATTGTTCCACGTTTAGCCAGGGTTCCAAAAGATTCACATATTTGACCTTGTATTTCTGGGTCCTTTGGGAAGGTGATTCTAAAGCAAACAAAAACGATCTGAGGGTTGTCGCTCCAATTGGCCGCTCTCGGCGTTCGAGCAGGTCAACTGCTTTCCCGGGTGAATGGCTCATTATGCACGCTGAAGCCGAAAAGCACAGCTGCACACACCCGCTTGGCCTTTAGCCAACGTCGAATGAATTTGCCAATTTAGCAAACCAGTGCCGGCCCGCGTCCTATCAGAATCAGTTTGGATGCCTTGCGAGTCTATCTGTTGCTTTGGCTCTCCTTCAACGCCCTTTTCACGACGCATCTGCCTTTACGGCAGATTTCAAGGATCACGCCGGACGAAGTGACCTTCAACTGCCTCTCGTCCCTGCTCACGCAGCAAGAGGACCGGGAGGAGTTCCTGGTGGGGCTGAAGGCTCGCTGGAGGATAAGCTTGGGGCGATTGGGAGGGGTGTCCCACGACGGATTGCAGATGGGGATCCCCATTTTGACCAAAGAAAGCTCCTCGAAATAAAGGAGCTTCGCACCCACTGCTTTTGCGTACTTGGCTTTGTCAGTGTCATACTTATTTGCGTAGCATCGCCGGGCCAGCGCAACCGGCCACCGGCCCAGGCTGCGGGCGTGAGGCCGGACGTGCGGACTTACAACCCCATGATCAGCGCCGCGGAAAGCTGGCAGGAGGCGGGCCTTCGCATGGCCTTGCACCCAGTTCCAACGGCAGCCCAACGGCTTCGTATGGCCGCGCGTTTGCTTCTTGATATGCGTTTGGGGAGGCAATTTGTTAATACCAGGTCTTGATTGTGACTTGTTGTGCGATCACTCGGCCTCATAAGGTTGTTTTGAACGAACGGGGAAAAAAAAAAAAAAACAAGCGGAACTTGGTGTATAGAGTAGATTTGGCAGCTAATGCTGACCAGCCACAAACCTGACACACCTCAAAATGCAAACTCTGAGCCCTGCACCACAATTTTGAGGAATCCAAGCAAGATGAACCAAGTTTTAGCTACAGAGAGCTGCGGCGCCAAACCGCACCCCACAGCAAATTGACCGCAGCCATTATTGGAGGTATCCGCCATGCTACACAAGGCTGGCACATGTTGTGTTGTGGACACCATGTTGTGTCAACACTGCATTCACTACATGCAGATCTTGGTTGATCAGGGTCTGATCCGAAAACCACTGTGATCGCAAGAAGGCGCAGGCCGAAATCAGACACCACCATCGGTTCCTGCTGTGCGCATGCAGCGATCAGTCCCTGTGCCCACTGAGCGCGCTTGATGGGCTCAACACCAGCTTTTGGGCTCCTCCTTATTCCCTTGGCTTTTCCTCGGTGATTAAACGGGACATAGTGACATAATGACACAATGTAGGACCAGAGGGAAGCCTTTTTTTTTCAAGTCAGAGTGGGGACTTCAGCCCTTTTGTGCCTAGATTGGCTGTCGCATGTGCCCAAGTGTGCGAGGCAGTGACCATCCTGGCTTCCATGCAAGCGGATAAGGTGGAGCCTGACATTAAAAGCGCCACGGATGTAAGGGGCAATCAGTCAGTTCTTTCGGCTCTTGAATTGATGATCGTCATATGTCAAGGTTCGCTATATTAGATGGACCATCAAGCATGTGCCTTTCATTTGAAAGCGACACACGCTGAGGTAGTTTGTGTCTCCAAGTGTTCGGTCATGCCGGATCGCAAGCTGATTGAAGGACTTATGATTTGAACCGGCCGTTTTGTCATGCTACTTGTGGAGGAATCGTGGGTTGGGCCTTTTGGCTGCTTTTAAGCTGGTTTTTAGTCGGTCGTGCAGGAGCGCGTTGCGGAGGGCTTTAGTTTGTGACGTACGTGTAGGGTTTGTTTGTTCCGTGTGTGTTGTTATTCTTGTTTCCGGCGTTGTGCTTGCCCTGACCCTGGAGCACATTAACTCAATGTGGCAGCTGTGCTTATTTTAGCTGCCGGCAAACCATGAACTTGAGCACTGGTTTTGCGTGGCTTAGCGCTGCTTTGGGCAGCAGTGCTTGCATCCAACACTTTGCGGTGTAGTTTGTAGTAGAAACCCTGAACAGGCAAGAACACTTTCGCAGTATGATTGCTTTTATGCTTGGTTGACGAAATGATTGCCGCCTATGTTGGATTTGTTTGACAAGGGTCAGGCTACCTGGGCTTCGGAAACTGCGAAGGTTGAAGCAGGCCTGTGCTGATTTGCATCAGCAGCATGCTCGTTGCGCCCGTTTTGTCGGGGTTGTGTCTAGAGATGTCAAGAGGGTACGGTGGCAGGCGCAAGTGCCGAAGGATCGCGCTTGCAGCAACCTAGGCAGGTTTTGCTTGCCACATGATGGGAGTGCACTACATGACCACTTTTAGCTTAAGTCTACACCGGGTCTTGTACACAGCTGAGAGCTACCAGTTGGGCGCGGTGATATGCTCCCGGGGGTCCCGGTCCCTTCTGAGGCTACAACCGCCTGCTCAGCTTGGCTGCGAGCACAGCCTCCTGGCCAGAGGTGCTGCAGATGCTCACGCGCCTCAGAGCGGAATTCTCGCCCAACGAGGTGAGCATGAGCCCCGGCGTCACTGAGACTTGGAATCTTGCGCCCTGCCCAGCTGAGCTGGTCAACTTGAAACCTTTTACCCTTCCTCCTACTAACATGGCACCTGTGGGGAGGTACCTGGAAGATTGGATTCCTTTTGAAGGGACCCCCTGTCAGTTACCATGTTAATGGGAGGGAGGGTAACTAAAACTTTGGGACCATGCCATGCCATGCCTTTATTGCATGGCCCTCGAACCTGAAGATGGGTTGACATATAGGTGGTTGAGATTCTAAACGCGTGCGGCGTTGGAGAGGAACACCTGACCATTCAACCATGCTGCAACTAGCTGTCATGGCTCCTATGGGTACCTTACGGTCGGCTGTGGGAGGGGTATCCGCGCTCGGTGAATGGCGCTGAATCTTTTTTTTTCTCTTTTTTTGTTTCAAACCTGGCTGACAAAGTGGAGGTGTGATCAAACATCACAATTCCTTCTGACATCTGCTGGCCGAAATGTTTAACTTCCAGAGGGGGATTCTCAACGAGGGCGCTTCAAGTTTCAATTTCATGTCAGGTGTGAGCCAAACCCGGCAAATGAGCCATCCAGCCACCATGCCTGCACTTCCGAAGTCCCTTTGGCTCATGAGCATGGGTGTCCTTTTTGAGTGGCCCTAGGTGACCTGGTTGTTTCATCTGCCAGGGCCGTGATTTTCCCAAAAGGATACCTATGCTCACTCTCCTTTTTGACATGCATGGTTTCATAGGGATGGATGTTGATTGGGCAATGAGGGATCAGCGTACCCAAAGCTATAGATGCAGGGTTTAGGAGGCAGTCCCAGCTGTGCAGCTGCCCTTTTGATTCTTAGCAGGACTTGTTTGGTAGATGATGGCCTTGGACAGGCCTTCTTGAAATAGTAAAACCTCCCCCTCTGTTGCGTGGACCCTGTCGCCTGCCTGGCATGGAAAGTGAAATACCTTAGGGCAATCACAAGCAAAGATGTGGTTTATGTTTGCTTCGTTCTGTTGTTGGCGGGCTGGATGGCAGTGCCGTTCTGCTTCTGATTCGTGGGCAGGCGGTGATTGTTTTTGCGGTTCGCTTTGATGCTCTTGGTCGCTTTGCCTTTCCGGGCATGTCATGGCTGTGTTGGATATGAATCAATTGCTTAGCACTTGCAGTTTGCCGCGTGGACAAGCGCTGTGTCTGGAGCATTTGACGTTCTCCAGGAGATCTCCAGGGGAGCTGGCTTTATGTCGGCGTGTCCCAAGACCGTTGTCCGTCTCTTGGAACAGGGCTCCTTAAAAGATACATTCTGTCCATTTGAAACATGTGGCTTTTTTCCAGCAGAACAAAGGGAAACCACCATTTACCAGGCAATGTTCAGGTGTATAATGTAAGGATCCCTGTTGAAAGAGCCCCCAGAAGTCTTCTTGGCCTGGCGACTTAGGAATGCCTGCCTCAGTGCCTGTGCTGCAGCGAAAGCCTGGGAGCAGGCGCTTGTGATACTCCAAGACGCGGAGCGGGACCTGCTGCCGGACGTCATTTCCTACAACACCGCCACTGGGATTGGCGAGTGTCGGGAAAGGTGAAGTGCCTCTCTGCCATGATTTGGATTTGTCAGATAGGGCTCTGAACCAGTTCGTGTATGTATCTGTACACACTATATATACACACTAAATGTTTATATGTTTTTACATATGCATACCATATGTGAGTTTACTATATATACACCCTACAATCAAATTAATATGTATATATATAAATATATCTAAAAGTAGATATACAACATGATATACATGTTGACATATGCGACTTGGACCAAGGCGATGCATGCTTGCCGGAGTTTCCCAGAGCGGGCCATGAAGCTGCTGGGCCGCATGCAGCAGCGAGGCGTGGCGCCGGACATGATCAGCTACAACACCTTGATGCACAGCGCCTCAGTTTCTCCGTGGCCTCCGCCTGTTTTGGAACTCCCTTATTGTAGGTGGCTTCGGGACCCGGCTAAAAATGACGCGCTTCCACCAAAAAACGGTTCCCTTTTTGATCTACGGGGTCACCGGGCAACTGGGTGGTGGAGAGTCGGGGTTTTGAGAGACCAATGCCTTGACGTTGGTGGGTTTGAGATGGTTTGAGGGCCATTGACTGTGATGAGATGAAATGATTGCCACCACCACGCCCATCGCCTCGAAAAGTAGGTGGAGCACATGACAACAGAGAGCCATGAAGTAGATCTTCCAGTGAGACAGAATGACCTTGGAAGGCAGGACGCCGCACGAGAACGGCAGCGGTTTCCTTGCACGCACAAAGAGCAACACGAGAACAACGCTGGGCGCGAAGAGCGCAAGGAAATATCCGTGGATCACCGTCGTTCAGGAAAATGGGCATGTCAGGTTCCACCAGGAAAGCTAGGGTCTCCTCCATTTTTTGTTTTGTTTTGTGGGGCGGCATAAACATGAAACATAATCAAACAAATTTCTCTGTGTACTGGGGATCTTAATTTTGAGAAACCCAGGTTGAGCCTTGCTACTCACGCCGGATTACAACGGCCTAGGTGCGCAAGATCGATGGGAATGGGTGCTGGCTCTGCTCGCGAGCATGGACGCTCACTCGAATGCAGCCCGTATCCCATTGCATGCAAAACATATGACGGGGCGCTATCGGTTGCGTCAGCCCTGCTGAGCCCTTGGCCTTTGACGGGAAAGAACAACTCCAAATGCATTCCCTAGGGGCATCTCCGGGCAAATGGTTGTCTAGTTATGCCTGGGTTCCACTCCCATAAGTTGACCAAGGAGCTGCAACCGGCTACAGCAACGCCAGTCTTCTGTTCGGCTTACATGAGAACTCTTGGGCTGCACAGGTCATCTTGATATGGCCCAACCCCAGGAAGGCTGCAGCTTGGGTGCCAACATGGTGTCCCACAGCATCGCCATCCACTCCTTAGTGCAGGCGGCATAGTGCAAACCGGGTGCAGCCATGGTATATCAAACTCGGGGGCCACCAAAACTTGGTTTTTCATTTGGTCCTGTTGCGTGCAAACCGGTAACATGGGTCAATCCACCTTCTGCGAGGCCCCATGTCACAATTGGTGACATTGTTGACAAGCAGCAGTGGAGAAATATCATCCTGGTTGTTCGGTGGCACCCCTTTTTCCCATTTTGTTTGCTGAGCTCGGCTCCCCTACCTGGTCAACCCCTTTTTGGGCCCTTCTTTACCAGGCTCGAAGAATCCTTTCTGCTAGAAATAAAGGTGCAAGATCCCACAAAGAGAACCCATGTTCCGAATATGGGCGATTGGTCTGGGCCCCCAATTTATCTTAACAGTGGAGGGGCCGCAACATGGCCAAGACCACGCGGTTTTTCCTCGTGGCTCGTGCGCGCAGCGACGCAGCGCAGGCCGGGCAGCTGCCGCGGGCCCTGGAGTTGACCCAGGACCTGCGGGCACGAAATGTGGCGCTGGGCAACGGCATCTTGGCAGAAAGGGGGAGCTTGGCCTCGTCTGGATTTTTTTGGCTCAAGCTCTTGGCTGGATGGGTGGATCCGAAACCCTAAACCCTCAACCCCAGGTTTAGTAGGGTTGCAAGTGGTTGGTGCCCTTCCTGTTGCAGCTTTTGTCTGAAAGGGTGCGAGCGGTTGACTTTGTTTGCTGCCTCTCAGCGGCTGGTGGTTTCATTCCAGGAGGCCCGATTGACAATTGATGTACAGACAAAAAGTACTTTTCGCAGATTCGGATGACCGTTTCTTGCGCGATTTGGAACCACCAGTGAATACAGCTTGGAGGGTCTCCCCCATGTTTCGGGGGAGACAAGCACCCAAACAATGTTTTGGCTCATTTAGATTTTGATGTTGGGGATGCCTCGCCTGTTACAGAGAAGTCGTCTGCCACCTAATCCCAGAAGTTGGGTCAAGAGCGGTTGGCATTCTCCAGGGGGCAATATGAATCCCACCAGCGCAGACTCTTGGCTGAAACACCCGAAACCGTGGCTCGAACTCTGACTCCGCGTCCTGGATTGTCCCTACCATTTGTTGGGGGTAACGGGGTAAGCGCTTTATTATTCAGAACTCCATGTCATTGGGCCCCTTCAGCTAAGGCTGCTACAATTGCCTCCTCCTTGCTTTGCTGCGTGCGGGCGCCAAAGAGTGGGCAGAGCGCCTGGTGCATTGGGCCGCCTGGCAGAAAGATCGGAGGATTTTTCGGGGCTGAAGTTGACAACTTGAGCGGCGGTACATTCGCGTCAGACTCGATGCCCCAAAAACTTCAGGGTGGAGTGGCATGCGTCGCATGTCGTGAGGCTGTGGAGGACAACGCCTTCAGGGCGAACCAGGTTGGCTTTGTGGACTTGCACTCCATGACCCCAGCTGTGGCCAGGCCCAGCGTGCCGGTGGTTCAGTGGGACCTTTTCCTTTACCCTTTTGTATCCTTCGGTTTGTCCCAGACAAACGGACAATAAACTTTCTCAAATGGAAGTGGTATACATGTCATGGGGAAGTGGTATTCAGAAATTGCATATGTAGGGCAGCACTCTCACACCTCATATTCATACTTACGTGACCAGCAATGACCCCTCAAACCTTGGGCATACAAGGAGAAACATGTGAGACGTGTACTGGAACTATGAGAATATTGAGGGCAGCTATGATGAGACACTATGAGAGTTCAAAGGA